TCCTGTCTTAAAAAGAGAAAAAGAGAGAGAGAGAGAGAGAGAGAGAGAGAGAGAGAGAGAGAGAGAGAGAGGAGAGAAGCTTCTCTTAGATCCTCTTATTTACTCGCTCCCCATTTATTAATGAAAAACATTAATCTATGAAGCTGAGAGATGTCTCAGCGGTTAAAAGCACTGACTGCTCTTCTAGAGGACCCGAGTTCAATTCTCAGCACCCACATGGTGGCTGACAACTGTCTGTCACTCCAGTTCCAGGGGATACAGTGCCTTTTCTGACTTCCTCGGGCATTGCATCACACAAGTGCACCCTATGTATATGCAGGCAATACACTCATACACACAAAATAAAAGTAAAAATAAAATATTTTTTAAAATACTTAATATATGCCAAGTGCTGTGTGAGGAATGTACATAGACCCTCAAGGAGCTCTAGGCTAATAGGGGACTTTGGTATTTAAGCACATAACAACAGCACATGGACAAATGCAGACCAAGTATAGAGGTAGCATAAAAGGTAGACAGTAGAGAAAAATGTGGAGAGCTTCCTACATGAACAGAAATTTATACTGTAAATAAAAGATGAAAATGTTTCCTGTAGAAACACAGCTAAATAATCTAAAGGGAATCTTTAGATTATTAAGGGAAGGAATAACAGATAATGAGCTGATGCAGGGAAAGACAGAGGAAAACAGTTTGTAAGATTGGAAGGTTCATTTCCATTTAAAGAAATAAACAAAGTACGAAATAATAGCATAGAATTAAGATCATCATACCTTTTCTTCTTTCTGCTTTTATCAGTCCAATTTATGAAAGATTTAGATTATGATATTGAATCTAACAAAAATGCATTAAGTTCTATTTCTGCAGAAGACCAAAATCATGTACATAGATCCAGAAATGTTAACTAAGTATCTACAATATGCACAACTTTGGATTGATAACTGAGTAGAATAAAGTATGATTCCATTCATAATTATGTTTGTTTCATGGGTATATTAAATGCTAGGAATAAAGAACTGAAAAGGGAAGTTACCTGGCATAGGTAGCAAACTTTTCCCCATCCATTTTAACAGAGGAAACCTCGGACTTTGCTGAGCCCACCACCCACCTCACCAACAACCAGCACCCCTGAACCGGATACCAGCACTGTTCCCCAAGATGCTGCAACCATCCCCAGTTCAGCCATGCAGGCCCCCACAGGTAAGAGCAGAGGATGGGACTAGCTGCAGTAAGCCCCAGGGCCCAGTACCTGCATTTCCCCTTGTCTTTTACCACTAACCAGCTCCCTGTGCATTTGTAAACCTAAGTAGAATATTATTTTAATGTTTTATCTTTGGGCATTTGAAACAGTCTCAGAAAAACTTTCATTTTGTCAGAATAATTAAAGAAACTGGAGTAACTGTTCTGTGAACTCAAGTCTGGGGCACTGGGGCCAGTTGGGGGGAACAGGGAAGCACTCGGAGCTCAATGGCCCCATTTAGATTAAGATTAATACTCATCTTGCCTAGTTGGGGATGTTCCCCTCTTAATGAGCCCCCCCACACTTCAGAACTCTTATCATTCCAGCAATACTACCACCATTCAAATTCAGAATATCTGAAAACCTCTGGTTAAATGAATTGACTTTGGAGAGCAAAATCTGGTGGCTAACAAGGATGTATTATTCAACCTGTGTGTATGTGGTGTGTGTGTGTGTGTGTGTGTGTGTGTGTGTGTGTGTGTCTCAAGAGTCATGCATATCAGTCCCCATTTTATACAATATCTATAAAGGTAGCTCTAAAAGAACTATATCTTTAAAGGATATGCATTGCTTTCTAGTGGGGGTGATCTTAATACTCATTCTGTATGTGTGAATACAAATGTGTATTTGTATGAAAACTTAATCTGTACCTACCATCTTCCTCATGGATGTTTAAGAAATTACAGTGCTCTTCATGGAATGAGTTAAATATGTCTCTGTGCAAACCCTAAAATGTTAGAGATAGAAGGGATGCCCAGCCATAGTTTCCTTTGCAGATTGCCTCAAGATGCAGAGTCTACTCAGGGTCCTACCACATGACTTCTCCATACATATCATTTGCTCCTATCTTTATCCCATTAGTGGATTTGCTTACTCTAAGAGTATCATTAGGGGCTAGAGAGATGTCGCAGTGGTTAAGAGCACTGGCTGCTCTTCCAGAGGACCGGGGTTTTGTTCCCAGCACCCACATAGCAGCTAACAACTACCTGTAACTCCAGTTCCAGGGGATCGATGCCTTCTTCTGACCACCATGGACATTGCACCACACAGGTGTACTTACATGCATGCAGTCAATACACTCATATGCATAAAAATAAAATAAAATATTTTTAAAAGAGCATCATTAGATTAATGAGCCAATAGCCTTTGTCCTTGAACTGAATGAGGACCAATGAGCACGTGAGTTAAAAACACTGATTACATCTTCCAGCTTCATGGAAACATTCCCCTAGATGCCCGTTTATCTACTTAGTCTTTCCAATACCACACTACTGGATACCACCTAGGTAAAAAGGTACCATTTCACTAGTCCCTAGAGGACATACAGCAGTAGCTTCATGACTGTGCTTCTGTTCTTTTTAACTCATGCTTAAAAGCACTGTGTTCACGTTCCTCATTTGGCCTGAATCTAATAGCCCAGGGAAAATAGGAGCTTACTTTGTGCATCCCTGTGTCCTTCTTGTGTCAGGCTAACATAGTCTTTTGTGTGTGTGTGTGTGTATTGCTTACATGTAAGTCAGTATATCCATGTCGTGCAATGCCCATGAGGTCAGAAGAAGGCGTTGAATCCCTTGGAACTAGAGTTACAGATGGTTATTGGCCTCCATGTGGGTGCTGGGAATGGAATCCAGATCCTCTGTAAGATCAGCCAGTGTTCTTAACGACTGAGCCATCTCTCCACACCCACCCACCCCAACCCCCCATGTACTTTCAATTAAGAACTGAAACTCTTCAAAATGCAAATGGACTGAACCTGAATGGATGATCACTTCAGTTCTTCTTAGATCTTAGCATATGGTACTCAAAAAGGGACTACTGGACTAAATGAGGACTGGATGCAACAAAAATCTCTCATTCATGAATGTTTAATATGAATCAATTATAACCCTGAAATTTTTATACATGGATGTGCTTGCAGAAGAGTCAGGTTTGCGTCCCTGCACCCACATAGCAGCTGACAACCGGCCATAACTTCAGTTCCAGGGAATCCTCTGCCCTCTTCTGTCCTCCACTGGCACTGCACAACATGGGTGAACATACATACATACAGGCAATACACTTATACACATAAAAATAAAAATAATAAAGTATTTTTGAAGTCAGTTCCAAGTCCCTAGTGATTTGAGTAGTTATGAGCCTGTGGTGTCCCTGCCTTGGGCAGTCAGAGCACCCAAAATAAGGGTTTTATGATATTTCGTCCATGTGTATATCATTGTACTTTGCTCATATTTGCCCATCACCTTCTTCTCTTACTCTTCCTTCTCTTACCCATGCTCCCCCATCTAACTTACTCTTTTATTTGCTTCCATATTTCTGAATATTATAGTCCCTGCCTTACTCCCTTGTGGCAGGGTCTCTCATTGAGCCTGGAGCTAGATTGTGGCCAGCAAGACCCAGTGAGCATCTTGTCCCCACCTCCTACAGCTCTACAGTTACAGGCATGCATACAGCCACACACAGCTTTTAATGTGGGTTCTAGGGATTTGAACTTGAGTCTTTATACTTGCACAGCAAGTGCTTATACCCACCAGCCATCTCCCCAGCCCTCCAGCCTCTCTTTTTGGTAGATTCCCAGTTTGATTTTCTTCCTATCTTTGTTTTCCTATAAATATTTCTTAGATTTGCACCCTTAGTTTTGTGTGAAATCTGTTATTTTTTGAAGTCTTTTCTTATCCCCAGTATTCTGAAATTTCATCTTAGATGTATTTTTGCTTGCCATACTGGAGCATTCTTATTCCATGAAATTTCCTTAAATTCTCTCATTACTTATTCTGGCATACCTATTATTCAGATGCTGGACTCTTAGACTGGCCCTCTAATATATCCTTCTTCATTCTTTTTTGTATATTTTTACTGAATTTTTGTGTATATCACGCACAACACCTTAATCATCTTTATACCCCCTTCCTCATCAGCACCCTCCCATAACCCTCCCCCCACCACTGGATTTCATGAATTCTGTCATTTATGTTAAGGCCTATCAAATCAAGTTACTGTCCCCCGACGTCTTCCCTTAGTGCAAGGTCATCCACTGGGGTCTCATCAGCCTGTCTATAGTCACTCTCTTAAAGAAGATCAGCTCTTCCTCACCCAGCAGTAATCAGCTGCCCAATAGTTCTTCAACTAGGATTGGAGCCTGTTACTCATTTCCACAATTCTATGCCAGGTAGCATGCACAAGACCCATGCAAACTCAAGCAGACAAAATCTCTCTTTGTTCTTATTCTTTGTGTCTTGTTGAACTTTCTTAGAGTTTTATTCTATATCTCCCAAACTTCATATTGAATTTTTGTTTCTGCCATCTTACTTTTAAAATTATAGTTAATCATTACTCTAGTGGCATTTCCCAAACTATGTTAATAGAAAATACTTGCCCTTCAAAATGCTGTGCAGAAAAGAATTTTATGTACATTTAGGGAACTTAGCCATATATGTTTACCCTACTCTGTGCTTGAACATTTATATATGACCAAAAGCCCCTTTTTTGTTTTATGAGGGTGTGTGTGTGTGTGCACACATGTGGGAAGGTGCACATGCACCCGTGTGTATGTGGAGGCCAGAGGATAGCCTCAGATGTCATTCCTCAGCGTCTATTCACCCTTTTTTAAAGACAATCGCTCTCTAGCCTGGAACTCAACGAGTAGGCTAGCCAGGGACCACCTGTGGGATTACAGACATTCACTACCACACACAACTTTTTTTTAACATAGATTCTGGGGGTTGAACTAAAGTTCTCATGTTGTAAGGCAGGTACTTTACTGACTGAGCCATCTCCTCAGCCCTATTTCCTGAAAAGAAAAATTGTTTTGACAATACTAGGAATTGAACCTTGGGCCTCATGCATGTAAGCTAAAGTGATCTATGAGCTACAGCCCTAACCCCTGTGAATTCTGGGTAGACTTTTTAGAGAAATTTTAGGTTCATAGGAAATTTGAATTAAAAGTGCAGAGATTTCTTCTATATTCCTGTCCCAACCTAAGCAAAGACTTCCTCATCCCTCATCACAGTGCTTCATTATTACAGTTGGTTAACTTACTTGACACATCACTATCACCCAAAATTCATGGTTTATATATGGTTCTCTCTCTCTTTTTTTTTTTGTCTTTTTTTTGTTGTCTTTTTTTTTTTTTTTTTTTTTTTTTTTTTTTTTTTTTTTTGTCTTTTTTTTTGTTGTCTTTTTTTTTTTTGTCTTTTTCAGACAGGATCTCCCTGTGGCTCCAGCTGGCCTGGAACTTGCTATGTAGACCAGGCTGGCCTCAAACTCACAGAGATCTGTCTGCCTCTGCCTCCCAAGTGCTGGGATTAAAGGTGTGCACCACCACACCCGGCTGGCTCACTGCTGGCTTTGACAAATGTATAATGACATATCAGCCAAAGCAAAATAGTTTCACTGCCCTAAAAATCCTTGATGGTCTTCCTCCATCTCTTTAACCCCTAGCAACAAATTTATCTTTTTTCTGTGTCCATAGTTTTACACTTTCTAAAATGTTATACAATAGGAATCATTTAGTATTATGTAACCTTTTCGGATTGGCTTTTTTCACTTAGTAATGTATGTTTAAGTTTCCTCCATGGTTATTTTGTGTGTGGGAAAGAGGGATCCTAGATATCAAACCCATGTGGCAAGTACTCTACCACTAACCTATACCTCCAACCCTCTTCCACGTCTTTTTATGACTTAATAGCTCATTCTTTTTATGTTAGCATTTATTAATTATACCTCGTGGGTTTCATTATGACGTTTCCATACATGGATGTATTTTGATCATATTCACCTCCTGATACCCCCTCTGGTCACCTCTCCCTGAATCCTATTAATCTCCTTTATCTTCCCAGTACTCTTTTCTACTGTTATGTCTTCCATGTATTTTTTTAAATGTCTCAGTTTCATTAGGGTTGCTTATGGGAGTGTGGGCAACTTACCAGTGACTACATAACTGAAAAAAAAAATGTCTTGCTAG